CGTTAATAACAGGGCGCAACCAGGTCCAGAAGCCTAGAGTTTGTCCCCATCTGCTGCCTTTCCCAATTCCTTTCCCCCCCTAGTAGTGCTTCTGATCTTATCCCCAAAAACCAACATTTTGTGCCACCTAAGCACTGTGTCTTTATTATTAATGTTATCAGTTAAATCAGTCTCCTATAATTAAGTTCTTTGTCCCATTTAAAAGTACCAATTGATCAAGTCTGATCATAGCTCATACTTTTCTACTGTAAGCATATTTAAACAACATGCTTTCTGGGAAGCCATGATGCATGGATGCTTCTTGTTTAGAACTTATTAGATTTAAAAGCATGGTTCTAGTAAAACCCTTTTGAATAAATACCCATAATAAGAACATGCATTTGTGCATTACACTGCCTGGTTCTAGGAGAGCCTGATCTCTGATAATATTATGGTTAAACTCAGGCTACATGCTTGCTGAGAGGATGAACACTTGCATGCTTAGCTGACCTCAAATTTCGCTTCCAGAGATTTTGGCTTTGTTCTATCTTATTATAGTGCTTGCATGTGAGATTGCATAGAATAAGATAGGATATACTTTTATTCTGGTATGTTTTACTCATTACTGTATAAATAGTGGCTGTTGTAAAGCATATCTCACTCTTCTGGATGTTCAAAGTGTCTGCTATAATTTGGCCCTTGTGGACTGATGGCATTTCTCTTTCTAGGTTGAGACTGTCTTCCATGAATTTGGCCATGCACTTCAGCATATGCTGACCAAGCAAGATGAGGGTCTAGTTGCTGGCATTCGGGGGATTGAGTGGGATGCTGTTGAGTTGCCTTCTCAGTTCATGGAAAATTGGTGTTACCACAGGTTACAATCTCCAACAAGCAAAATCTGTATCTTTTGGATTTCTTCAGACTACATTTGCCTTTTGTTGCCAAAAGAAACAAAATTGGGTGTGATACATACATGTGGAAGATATGCATACAAGGCCCTATATAGTTACTTATCATATTAGGTGTGGCTTAGTAAAGCATACCATCTTCTTCTTGTGTATTATATGGCTTCTTAGTTGTTTGTGGTTTTGGCTTTATGCAACTCCATAGTGTTTTTACTACTCTGTTAGTAGTTAATCATATTGCATTTGATCTTAATGTTTATGATCTGACAATGGGTTAGGAGAAGGTGTGGCTATTTGACCCACATGACCGTGAGCTTGAGCTTGTTTGATCTATTTGTTCTTATTATTTTGTGGCCCGTAGGCAGAATCATGGTCAAACATGTAAATGTTCTACATTCTCTAATTAGTTTGTCCGAATATATTTCCTATTCCACATTCTTGGATATTTCCATTACTATTATGTGCATTTCCTTTTTCTAAATCAATTATAACTTTTGTTAAGTAGATTTTTATTCAAGTTGTCTTTTGTTTGCTTCAGGGAAACATTGCTGAGCATTGCAAAGCATTATGAAACAGGGGAGAGTCTCCCTGAGGAGGTGTACTTGAAGCTCCTTGCTGCAAGGACTTTCCGTGCTGGTTCTTTAAGTCTGCGTCAGGTCAGTTGAACTTGTTCTGCCCTCATGTCAGTTTTGGTGTGTGTATCTCTGCAGAAACAATGTGTTTCCTGAGGATGGCTTGTGGTTAAACAGAAGCCTGCTCCTTAATATATGCAGTGTTCCTTGTGAGAGTTCATTAGCACCATGTTCTCCTCCTTTATCTTTCTCTTCCTTTTTTTTCCTCTTGTGCCTCCTATCTCTTCTTCCACCCCCTCTCCTACCTCAATGTTGGACTGATTTGACTGCGCTCCCTTTGATATCAACCAGTTACAGATCTATCTTGTCTGGATACATCCATATTTTAAAGCATTATAGAGGGTACTTTGTGTCTATGCAAACCATGTAGTGCTACAGAAATGGATGATGTTAGATGATTTTTGTGGATGCATTAAACGTATCTTTTTCTTCATTTGTGTTTACCACCTTGTGCAACTCTGTGATAATGTATTTTTAAAACTTTGTGACTCTTTATTTCTTTTTTTTTTTTATAATTGGGGCAGGGGGGATTTAAATCTTGCTCTTTAGGCAGGGGGATTATGCACCAACCAATGAGCCAAATGCTCGGGTGCACTTTGTGACTTTGTATGTTGTTGCCTTACTTTAATGAAAGGAGATTGTAATATTTGGTGAACTGCATTAGTGTTTGGTCCAGTATTTGAACGCTTGACAGGTCATTTCTAACTGTTTCTTATTTTGCAGCTTCGATTTGCTAGCCTTGATTTGGAGCTTCATACAAAATATATACCTGGTGGGCCAGAATCTGTTTATGATGTTGATCACAGAGTTTCCAAAAGAACACAAGTGATTTCCCCATTGCCAGAAGATAGGTTCCTCTGTGGTTTCAACCATATATTTGCAGGTTTGCTCCTTTTTCTTCTGATCCCCCCCCACCCCCTTGTGCTCATAGAACAATTGTCAAATGTATTTTTTACTATTTCTGTGCAAATTTTACCTAGGAGATTTTTAAATTTGTTTGCTTTTGTGAATATCAGGTGGATATGCTGCTGGATACTACAGCTACAAGGTATATTTTATTTTTTATCAAGGTTTCTTAGAAAAGTACATCTGTGGAGAAATATTTGAATTGTTCATGATTGGAACTAGCTATCAAGGTCCGATTGTCTACAATCTAAAAAAGACTAAATAATTTATGATCTTTCTCCCTTTTGTTATCTCTCTGTAGCCTACTTCTGCAGTCTAGCTAGTATTAAGTTTTGTCTGCTAAATTCATGTGATCTTTTTAAGAGCTGTGGGTAATTTGTATTCTTGTTTCTCCTTTTCTTTCCTTTTCCTTTGCCCTTTGCTATGTGAACTGAAATCAGAAATGCTAATTTTGCAGTGGGCAGAAGTGTTGTCTGCAGATGCTTTCTCAGCATTTGAGGATGCTGGATTGGAAGACAGCAAGGTATGTCAGTTGAAAAGGCTGTTCAGGATTGGTTTTTACAATCCTCCATCCTCTTTTATATCTTTTCCTTTTCAACTGTATGCATCAAATAGAGTAAAATCATTAAGCAGATTTGACTCCTCTTTGTTATTTTACCAATTCTTATGTTTGTGCCTGTGTCTGCAATTGGTGAGGGATTCTGCATAATGTTCATTGCACTACAAATGCACAACATAATCATTGAATGCAGATCCTCACCTAGAGTGCTGTTGTGTTGCATACAGTGATTCTTCTCTGTGTTTTCCTTCAAAAACTCTGCATGAGAGCTTGCTAAACCATATTCATGGTCCTGTTATTATTAGTAAATTTCTTTTTGAAAAAAAAAGAAGGAAAATATATGCTCAGTTATGTGTAATTGTATTCCAACAGGCGGTTAAAGAAACTGGCCGCAAGTTCCGGGAGACCATTCTTGCTCTTGGAGGTGGAAAAGCACCATTAGAGGTTAGTTTATACAAATTGCACATTGACATTCCTAATTGTGAAAATTTAAATCATGTTTTCTGTTTCTTTCCCTCTCTGAGCAGTTTCTCAATAAGAGAAACACTATGCTTTGTATTTTCTGTTTCAATTTGTTAGACACTGTAACTTGTAATGTAGAGTGCGTCGATTACGTCTTCTTAACATGAGATGATGATCCATCCAGATCTTTGTTGAATTCCGTGGACGCGAACCTTCACCAGAGGCATTGCTCAGGCACAATGGATTGTTACCAGTCACAGCCTGACCATGAGCTGTTTTTCAGCTGCCATTCAAGGTCATGGAAGGTCATTTAAGCTTCTGTTATAGACTACATTTGTGTTTTATTTAGCTTTTCAAGCTATCTTCACTAGTCTCAAGGGTTCTGCTTGCTTATTGCCCTGAAAAGATAAGAAAAGAATAAAGATTGGGAATAGCACTTAGAGATGTCTTTAACCTGAAGATATTTAATCCTGAATTTTCTTGGGACTTACCCTTTTGCCATCTCTTCTGGTGAAATATTTTCCATTTCTGGTTCTTTTATCTGCTTATGCATTTGGCTGCTATAACTTATATACGATACCAATTTGTTTATACTCACAAGCAAAATTGGAGATGGTAAAAGCAAAATGTCCATGAATGATTTTGTTTGGTTGATGGGATTATTTTTGGGATATTTATATTGGATCTTTGCTTCAAAGGCAAATTTGCTGATAATATTTCCAAAGTAGAGCACATTTAAAAACTGCCCCTTCACTTCACTACTTAACAAAGCTAGAGAGCATCCACATGTCACAATAAGTTAATACTCTTTTCCCTTCATGTTCTTTGTTCATTCTAATAATATTTTATTTTTTAATATATCAAAATTAATTTTTATTTTTTTTACTTTTTAATATTAAAAATCATGTTACATCAATTTATAAAAGAAATTTAATATTATAAAATAAAATATACAACAGAATTTTTTTAAAAAAAATCACAACCAATTGCAAGCATTTGTAAATAGGATAGAACTGATAACTATAAAATAGATAAATAAATATCTTTATTAAAGAATCAAATTTCATTATGACTGAGGAGGGCTTGCCATGAAAGAAAGATTAAAATTGTAAGTTTGTTATATAAATAATCATACAAAGTCAGATCATTTTTATTTGGTAAAGGGGCGGTCGGGCAAAGTCAACACCCGAAGCAAAACCCGCCACTTACAACTCCACAACTAACCCAAACCAACCAACCAACCAACCAAACCGGATCCAATTTTATTGCACAAAAAGAAAAAAAATATCTTTTATTTTCTCTCTCAACAAAATTTAAAACGAATATCCAAGAAAAAACAGCTAACAGACGAGGAAGATCTGTAAAAGTCGGCGATTCTTTTTAGGAACAAGAACAAAAAGGGGAAGAAGAAAGAAATGGCAAGAGCAGGGGGAATAACGAACGCCGTAAACGTAGGGATAGCGGTGCAAGCCGATTGGGGGAATCGCGAATTCATCTCTCACGTTTCCCTCAATGTTCGTCGCCTCTTCGAATTTCTCCTCCAATTCGGTAAATATATCCTCTCTTGTTTTTTATATTCCTTTATATGATTTTCAAGTTCAATTTACTATTTTTTACCTTTTTTATTTTTAGTAAATGCTTGTTTTCACTTTTCAGAGGCTACAACGAAGAGCAAATTGGCGTCATTGAACGAGAAACTGGATACCCTGGAACGTCGTTTGGAGCTTCTTGAAGTTCAAGTGGGAACTGCTTCCGCTAATCCTTCTCTTTTCAGTATGTAATTTGTATTTCAATTGTATTGTTTCCATGTCTTTGTCGTGATTCTGTTCCCACTAAAGTTTTCGAAAACAAAGTCCTTTTTTGTCTATAATATATTAACAAGTGAATTTTTGCTTGTCGTGTTTGTAAGACATTATCTGCTGTTTGAAAATTTCAGTGAATCATCTTTGCCTTTGTCTCTTTCAATTCTTCATTGCACCATTTTTGAGAGATCTTTTTGGGGCTACTTTTTTGTTTCATCTTTTTGCTACTTAATAAAGGCACACATTCTTCCCAATGACAATTTTTGGTTGTGGCATAGACTGAAACCTAAGAGTTAGCCAATCTTACCTACAAAAATGATGCTTTAAGTTCAAATCTTTACTTCCACAGTCTTAGCAATCGAAATGAAGAAAGAAAGAAAGAAAGAAAGATTGGTAACTTGCATTCTGAGGAAGATGCTGAAACAGTGCTTGGCAGCTGAAAGTTCTGACTCCGGCCTTTATAGATAATGGAAAAGTTAATTTAATAGTGATGGTGGTTATCTCCTTAACCAGAAGAAAACCAACTTGTGGACTCCAGTGGATCCAGATTTGAATTTTATCAAGGAAAAAGAAAGAAACTTAAATTTAAAAAAAAAAATTCAATTGGCTCTGTGGTAATGTTAAAACAGTTGCGTTCATCTAAAATTTAGATTTATTTCACTTAATCTATACCTCTTAACTGCTTTGTTAGTTAGTCTGCTCAAGGACATTAAATGAATAGTAGCTAAAATGGCTGCTTTTGGCTTGCTTTGTCATCAGTTCATTCATCTTTGTAATAATTATCCCACATTTCCAGTATGAATTTTGGTTGGTTAAAAGGTCTCTTGTATGTTATATAATGCTAGTTTAAACATTTGAAGCTCTTGCTTTAACATCCCCTGCAGTTGAGTCTAGTCTGGCTTCATATTGTAACATGTTTATTCTTAAGCACGGAAAGCCGTCAGTTGCTTAACAATTCTGAAATTGAATATGGTGGTGTAAGTATATAACTTATTTAGACTAAAGTCACCAATTAGATCTTTATAGCTTAAATCATGTCAAATGTCTAGCTTAGTGTTGCGTCTTTGGCCTAACTATGTAGTGGTGGGCAAAAGAAGATGCAACAACTTGGCTGATTAACTGAGAAGAGTGGGGAATGAAGGGGAGGAAACAGGGAATGTGTATTGACACAACATTAAGGTCTGCTGCAATAGTAAACACTTTAACTTCAAAATAAATGGAATAGATGAGGGTGCGGAGTTGTTCATTGAAAAAGCATTGGATACTCTTCCTGTTAGCTGATTATCATTTGTAAATTGATAAATATTTCATCCGTCCATCTACTATCTTGGCTCTGGAGGAGCCAAGGCTTGTGTGTTAATAGGTGAGGGTTCTGATGTAGTTGGGGTAGGCATTAGAACCATCTTTTTTTCCATAACTATGGAGTAGCGATTGGACCCTCCCAAGCTATATATGCTATCTATGGACTTCATGTATTCTGATGCATTGTTCTCTATGATCAAAGCATCCTCTAGCTCTCGAACGATGTCAGCCATGCATGGTCTGTAAGCAGAGAAAGGCTCAATACATGCCAATGCCGCCTCAACTACTCTCCACATTGCCTCGGCGTGGTACCCTCCCTTTATATTGGGGTCGATGATTTCATCAATCTTTGACTCCCTTATATAAGGTTTTGCCTGCATGCAAAGGTGTCTCTTTGTTAATCTCTTCTCTTGCATTTGGTTTAAGAATGATAGAAAGAAATTTCTAGCAAAGGAGTTTTATGAATTCAACAATCTAGAAACGAGAAAACATGAGATCAGATATACCCATTCAACCAAACTCCACTCATTCCGTGGCCTCTGTATGTTAAGAGGCTCCCTTCCGCTTATAATTTCAAGGAGAACAACACCAAAGCTGAAGACATCACTTTTTGCAGATAGTTGCTGGGTTGAATAATACCTTAATAACAGCACAAAGTTAAGAGTCAGGCTTCTTATAAAATTTTTTAAAGACAAAGTAGGCAATGGAAAACCATTTTTGTTTTATGGTGAGGTTGACTATAGTTTCTATAATCAAGTTGCTGTTGTAGAAACAGCACAGTTCAACAGAATCTGAATCAGCTAGGAAAGATTGATTCTTACTCTGGATCCATGTATCCGGCGGTGCCTCTTACTTCAAGGGAAGCATTACTGTCCCCCTCTTGAGGAGCATATTTCGAAAAACCAAAGTCTGCTACCTTAGCACACATGCTATTGTCCAAAAGTATGTTGCTTGATTTTACATCCCTATGTATAACACAACGCCCCGCATAAGTATGGAGATACATCAAACCTGAAGATTACAAATGCTTATTAGACACTTCAATAGGATCAATATTCTTATTTTGTTAAGAGTAGAGAAATCATATAAAGCATAAATAGCTTAGCATCACGAGTTACTTGCCTCGAGCAGCACCAAGAGCAATTGAAAGCCTAGTTGGCCAGTCCAAAATTCTCCTTTTGGCTGCTTCACCTATTAAATACTGATGATCAACAATTGATGAACAAGACAAGAAATAAAATATAAGGGCTTTTAATGAAAAGTACCATAGAGGCGATCTTGCAGAGAGCCATTGGACATGAAAGGATAAACAAGGATTTGTTGGTCGTTTTCACAACAACAACCAAGAAGAGGCACCAGATTTTCATGCCGAATAGCCGAAAGAAGGTTTAGCTATAGATATATTAAAAATAGTTATCAGTTGCATATTTTCAACGTTGTATTGAAGCTATAAATGTAGGATTCTAAGCTGATGATTTATTAATAATAACTCTTACCTCATTCTCAAATTCTCTAGTTCCTTGAGTTGAGGTAGCTGATCGGACCTTCACTGCAACCTCCTGGCCGTCAGGTAGAGTACCTTGGTACACAGATCCAAAGCCTCCTTCACCAATCAAGGTTTTGTACTTTTGGGTGGCAATCTCAATGTACTCTAGAGTATATGTCTGTATAGATATTGACTTAACAAAAACGTCATCCGTGCTAGGTATGGAGAACACCAGATCTGCATTTTCAAGGAGCTAAGGTAAATCATTTACTTTGACAGAACATAATACACACTGGAAAAACACTTAAAAATCACCAGACACTTTCATGCAAAAACTTAGAAATTTAATTAGTTTGTATTAGCTTCCTGACATGGATTTAAGAGATCAATGAGTAAAGAAGGAATGGATTTACTCACTCTTTGCCATGACGAGTCGATTTCGATTGCATTTTCTCCTAGCCATTAGTTTTTGTCTGTAAAGGCAAACAATAACAGTTCCAAGAGCAATAGTAACTACAGCGCTTCCACATACAGCAGTGCCAATGACAATTCCTTTTGTTGGACCACTTGATTTCCGTTGACATGCTCCAGAGCTAAAACGTAGATGCAAAAACATCAGTTAATTTTGTTTTAAATGCTTCTGTTGTTCTTCAAAGTCACAGAAAATGGACTAGTTTTGTACTCAGTGGTTAGTTTTGAGCTGTTCAAGCTAGATGGGAGGTCATTGTCGAGTTGAGGATTGCATCCATAATATCTGGGAAAGAAATAACAAGATCATAGAGTTACGAATCTATATGTAGTTTCAAACAGATAATAGCTAGTTTTGCAGCACAAAATTAAACTTTTGTAGGAAACAACTCACAATATACTCAAGTCTGGAAGTGAGATAAGAGATTCTGGTAGCGATCCCACGAGTTCATTTTTGCTTATATCCCTGAAAATGATATGTAAATCAATCAATATATGAAGCATAAAACTTTCTCGGGAAGAAATTTGATATGGTTGGGAATGGCGTTAGCAAGTTGAATAATAGAACATAGAACTATTGTCTTTCCAATTCTTAATATTTGCAAATATCATTTTATTAATAGATTTCTGTGGATTTAAGTGGTGAAATTTGAGTTTGAAGAGAAAATTTACACTGATGTCAAATTGGAGGATTGCGGGAATGTTGGAATCTCGCCTCTGAAGTAATTGTCGCTCAGGTTCCTACAAAGTGACAATCAAGTAACAGAATACAAATTAGTGGCTTTCGTGCTATTTAGTAGACAATACAAACAACCAATAGCAGAGAGCATTGAAGATCGTACAATGTTTTCAGGTGGGTCAGTTCTGTGATACTCGGAGGAATTGGCCCTTGAAATTTACTTGCAGAAAGATCCCTGAAATTATATAGTAATATGGAACAGGGAACTAATTTTCAGTACATCTACACTTGAAAGCAAGAATCAAGAGAACATGGGAATTCGTTATAGCCATGTGGTAAATCTTGAAAGGAAGAGTAAAACAACTTACAGATCTGTGATGACTGTGGAACCATTAGAGTTGCAGGTCAGACCTTGCCAGTGATCAGGAAGGCATGGATCTCCTGACCAAGAATCTATTAAGGTATTCCCCTGGTTAAGCATTAACAGCTCCTCTTTTACCTTCTTTATCACAATCACTAAAGAGAAAGAAATGAGTGAGAATCTTGATTGCTAGATAAACTCTGAAGCATAAACATTAGTATAAGTAAACTTGACCATTAAAGAAACAAGTAAACTTGACCATTAAAGAAACAAGAAAAAAGAGAGAAAAAAGTAGGAAACATTTTGTTAAGACTTACCATCATCATAGTCAGTCTGTAGATCCCTTGGACGCACCTGCAAGATCTCGAAGGCATTGCAAATGGGTCCAAATTCAGATCTATTCGATACCTTAACCAAGGTCAAATTCAGAGACCCTTTAGCTGTCACATTGTAAAAACCCTCTCGATAGTTCGATCCATTAGCCAATATATCAAAATTATCCTCTTTCCTCTCATTGTTGATGTAAATATCAAACACCCTCTGACCAATTCTTGTGACAGTGTCATTGAGCTCAAGAAAGTAGAGGATCACTGTGTAGTTATAGTCTTCATTATCAAGGCCATTTTGCAGGAACTCCAATTGGTTTGAATCTGTAACAGCTGTTTGTAGAACTTTGAGCGGCACTGTTGTATTAGCATTGTTGTGGATAGTAACAGAGGAGTTGGCCGGTGAGTAAAGACTTGATGCTGGTTTCCAAATTCTGTCATATCCGTCTTCTGGGTACCTGAAATTGGCAAGTAGCCTTAATAAACATAGTTCGTGACTTGATACTGTGTTTACACTTTTGCTGTGTGCAAGTTGATCTAGTGAAGAGATGCGTAGTTGAAGATGTTGCATGTTAGTATATCGAATCATGAATAGAATCAGAGTAGAATTAGGAATGCAGAAATTATTCAGTTATTCGTGGCAGCAATTCTAGTTTCAGCCAGGGGGAAAAAATCAATTTGATTTTTCTTTTGATTGAAGCACCACTCTTGCCAACATCGTAAAGGTTAAATCTGCAATCAAAACGATGCCTTGGGCTTGGTTTTGTTGTTGTAAGAAACATGTTATTCCTGCTTTTATGTCCTTTCATTGCTCAGCCTTCTAGAATCATTATAGTGCTTGCTATTCGGACACTAGTCTTATCATTCTTGTTTATGGGTTTTAAGGATACAGAAATCATATACCTGGTCTCTCCAATGCCCCCTAGATCAGTTCTGTTAACCAGCTTCAGAATACTGGATGATTTATCCTTTAGATACGCTGAACCATTCAAAGGCCTTAGCTCAAGACTCGATATGTAGGGATCCCCCTTTACATGCACTAAGCAGAAGTCAGTATAGCTATCAGCAGCTTGGAAAATTCCTTCCACCACCGAGCCCTCCGATGAGTTCACCAGGTGTAGTGGTGTGACGCCTATGGAAACACCAAACAAAGAGTCTAACTGAGCCCCCTCTGTTTCACCGACAGGGAATGAACCCCTTATCAGATAGTCCTGATCTTTTATTGTCGCTAAGCTATAACATCTTTTCCCTGATTCGATGTCAAAAATCCGAGCTCTTTCGTTGCCTTTGTTCAAGTTACTGCAACTTTTCCTGTCTCTAAACCATTGGTCGTCAGGTACCCAATGTATGCTGTTATTTGTAAAACTTGATTCAGCGCAGCATGCTATGCTCAAAAAGCCTGCATGTAATTATAGCTTTGAGCATCACATATTTTGGTCAACTCTAACATCAGGTTGGAAAACCAATTTAGAACATCAACAACCTCACAAGTTATGACCTAGAGTCAGACTCTACCAGAACATGTAATTAAACTGATTCTCTTGCAGTTTCACTAATTTGCAAGGAAGATCTAACCTTTATAAACCCTGATTATTTCTTTTTATCAATAATAACATCATATGTGGAAATTTGTTAATTATAATTGGATCTTGATCCAGGTTGTCCTATATATATTCTGACAAAACGTTCCATAGACAAGATGGACCTCGTTGACTGTTTCTTTAAAGATAATCAGATTTGAGAGCTATTGGCACAATATACACGTTACAGACTAGATTCATTCTTTCATGTACTAAGTTCTGGAACATTTATTCAGGCAAAATAGCATCAAACTTTGTTAAACAAATTTAGTTCAAATCCTAGAAAAGTGTCTTACAAGAACATGGTCAAGAATTTTTGTCTGATCTATGATGAACAACATAACAAAATGTGTTCTGATACTAACCTTGTGCACTTATTGATGGAAGAAGAATGACGAAACAAAGGATAAAAAACACATAACATCTTCTTAAAGCCCCGTAAACCAACTCTTCCATCATCATCTCATCTTAAATGGAGCACGCCCCATCGGGTTATCAATATCATAATCAAGCCAACCAAGTTACCGAACTTTCAGCAACTACCAGGCTAACCCTTCTGATCAAAACCAATAGCTCAACCATTCTTAAGACAAGCTGTTTTTACTTTGGCTCTCATGATCAACGTATCTGAAGTAATACAGACATTTTTTTCCAGTACTTGAGATCAAAAGAAGGCGTTCATCTTGACAGTTATTGTATCAATGGAAACATGTCAAAAGTCTTCTAATGATTATTTCCAGACACGGCGGTGATGACATACAAATGAAACAAAGCGTAGAGGAAGGAAAAGAGGTTGATAATACAGGTTTGACTTCACAATGTGGAAACTAGAGGAGCTTAATTTGCTAAGAAAGAAGATTGAATTAGAATAATCCAAAAGTTTATTATCAAATTTATGTTAAAATAATTGGTATTAATTAACAAGTATTATTGTTCTTTTGTTTTGGTGGTGGAGGGTAATTAATGTATTAAAATTTCGGCTTAAAATAATGCAGCGGAACAACCCCTCATCTTCGTCTGCCTCCGTCTCTCTTCTTGTCTGTTACCATGGACGCAACATCAAGGAAAAATTGCACATTGGCTACTCTAGTAAAAAAATAATAATAATAGCCATCCCATACAGTTAATCGCTTTACTATTTATATTTTCTTTATCACTTTTTACTTCTTTAATTAAAATTAATTACCTTATTAAATTGTACAAAAGTAAATAGTAAAAAGCAAATAATATTTGATAAAAAAAAGACATGGAAAATGAAATATTGTGACAATATATTAATGATGTATAAAATTAAATCAAGCTCAATTATGAAGTTCAATTAATTCAGTAATATATAAAATAATAAACAATCTAGTATAACACGATGCTAAAATGATATTTTAAAGGCACTTAGAACTAATACTATGTAAATCCTATTTGGTTTACATTAATTTATCATTTTAATCATGAAAGATTAAATTGATTTTAATCTAGTATACACTTATATATATCTAACAATTTCAACATCATACTAGATCATGGATGATCCTGATAAGAAATGGCCAGTACTCTGCCAGAAAACATGTCCGTGACAAGAAAATATAATTTGATTCAACTAATATGGTCAGATATAAGTAATCCAAATTCTCAAACCAATTAAAATCGAACTGTCGATTTCCACAAACGTGTAAAGACGATTAGGATGAGCTGTAATCCCATTAGCAGAATTAAAAGCTGTGTTTTACAGATTGGAAGATTGGGATGTCCCTCATATACAGTGTTCTACTTGGTCAAGTGATCCTACATAACACAACATTGTAGAACCAATCACCAATCAAAGTTTCAGTAACCCATTTTCTGTCTTTGAAATCTGCAACATCCATCCTGAAGTTTCGTCGAAGATAGGAAAATGTTTATTTTCGGTTTTTACAACTAATATCAGTTTAAAATCATTGTCTTCGTTTTCTATAATGATGTTGGATTTGGTAACTCAAAATTCGATCATATAGGTCATCAGGTTTACTTGGTCTTCTTTTAGAAACATGTATATAGCCCACACTTGCCAATGACCCTATTCAATGTACTTTCTTTTAAGAAGGGTTCACATTTATTTTTGGGTCAAGCCTCAGCATGCATGCAGTCGAAGTGAAGGAAGAAATAGAACATAGCATTATCTACCTTTATATGGCTTAAATCTAAAAAAAAAAAACAAAACCGAAGGACAAGAGGGCAATCTTGTTTTAATTAATTTAAGTCATGCCATCCACGTAAGTATCAAACCTCTAAAGTATTAATTTCTGGTTCTAACCATGCTATCTGCCTTAGTACATGAGGATTATGACAAAGTTATCACTTATTATTGTGCTTAAACCTTTCACTTTAACCATAACTGTAAAGATTAGGCTATACGTTTGGTATTCCTAGAATAAGTTGATGACTGCATAGGTTTCATGACATAACTCAATTTCACCTTTGTTGATCCAGTCCCTTTCTGTTTTCACACTGTGATCCCCATTTCAAATTAACTGTCAAAGTAGCAAATGCCACCCTGTGAGAATTATGTCATGGTTTCTGAAAGCATACACTAGGCTGATCAAGTTTACCTTAATGCACACGCTTGTTCCTGTCACGCTAGGAACAAGTCAAGGGCAATTGGATCAACTCCGAGTATCAGTCTAACAATTTAGCTGAACCCATTGATCAGTAGATGGAAAATTCTCTCGGAAATCCATCCACCCAGAAAAGGCTAAAACCTTGGACGATTGGTTAGATTTTTTTTAGTTTAAACTTAAAATAATAAAAAGGTTTGTTTCCTGACAATCATGTCAGCATAGTTTTAAGCTCTTGATTTGTTTAGTGATAAAAAGTTAATACAATCGTTTGCTAAAATGCCGCTTGTCACCTATAACTATTTTAAAGTGTATAATTAAAAGATTGGATTCTTTGTTTTGTTCCAATGATCTAAATAATAATTATCTTCGTCAAACCATTGCTTGAGTTGGTTAGCCTGTTTCCAGCAATACCTGCGTCGCTGAAGGCATATTCGAAGCATTAAACTTTGTCCATAGCTGATACATATATGGCCAAAGTTAGCAATGATTTGCTTCTATTGTTAGTTTCCCATTTTTAATTGGGGTATCAAAAATTATTAATCCCTGGCCAAATGGCTAATACAACTATCAACCATGGTTGCCATTCCAAAAAAAAAAAAACCTATTAACCATGGTTTAGTTCCAGGAACTCTTGCAATCATATTGAAGCCTTTGGTAAGTGACCTATAACAATTTTGGAAGGATAGAATTCCAAGCTGATATTATGCAATTCATGGCATGCATCTTTCCATTTGACTTGAGTGACAGAATAGGGTTGCTAATAAGGAAGCACGTTTGCCGCCTCCTTGGTATAACAAAATTCTACTAAGAATACGGAGATTCGACTTACCAACAAGAATAAATATTGTCTCTACTGTTTTGAAATTACGTTCAGTGACAGGCGGAGCCTCCTTAATAGATGTGGGAGGCCATAATTTTATTTTTTGTTCATTACATATAAAATTTTTAGAACTTTTTATATATTCTCTTAATGGTCCCCTCAAAATAATTTTTTATTTAATAACTAATGCAAATAAAAAATAATAAAATGATTTTATCTATCTCACCCAACTTTAAAGTTTTTTTAAATTTTGTTCTTTCAATTTATATTATTATTATTTTATTTTATTTTATTTTTATTCTATTTGTTTATATGTTCTAAGTTTTTATAAATTTTCTTTCCCAAATTTCTACAAACCATCAATCATATTCTTTTTTTTTCATTTTTGTTATGTCATATGTGATAACTTCTACTTACCATGTTCTTCTTTTTTCTATTACATAAATTTTATTTTCTATAATTTTAATTTTTAAAAATTAATAAATTATTATTTAGTTCTCAAATATAAGTTGTAGTATTACATTGTTATTTAAAATTTTATTAATGTATTTTTTTTTGTTAATCTTAATTATGTAAGAGGAAATTAATTTGAATATATTTTTTTGTGTTTTACGTTTTATATTTAGTTAAAATGAAATTATCTTGAATATATAGTTTTTAAACAATCTTGATTATATAAAAAGAAATTATTAATATTATATATCGTATTTAATTATTTATATTTTATATATTATAATTTTTTATTTAATTTTATATTTCCATTATCAATCTTTTGATTTTTAATTGAATTTAACATATTAGTTTTTAAAATTTTTAATTCTTATTCTTCAGTGTTTGGCCCTCTCAATAAAAATTAGTTAATTCCGTCCTTGTTTAGTGAGCCATTGTGAGAAGCACATGAGCAGATTTCATCCCCATAGCTATACTGTAAGAAGAAACAATGTCAGGTTGCCTCAAACCATTTAGCTCAAGGGTTATATATTGCACGTTGGCTAAGAGAAACGATGAGCCTTCACATAATCTTATTTCTCCATTTAACTGAGTTATGTTTACTTAGCTCCTCTGGAATAACGAAATGTTTCTACCGGCCTTTCTTAATAACATTGATCATCGAAACCAAAAATCATCTTTTCTTTGAGTTGATTAGACCAGAAAATGTCCTAATCGAAAGCTAATTCTTGGTTTCCTCGATTGATGAAAATGTATTCATTCAGCGCTAATTCATGCATTTACATGGATGATTCCAAATACAATTACAGAAATACAAAAAATAAAGAAAAACGGTTCATTTTCAGCTAAATGAAACCTTTGTTAAGGATTCCTCTGTGATTTTCCTGTGTCCTTCGGTTCTTCCATCCAAAATGAAGTGGTAGATCAAAGAAAATCCTATAGAAAGCAAACCAACCTGACATTACAAGGAAAATTTTCTCACTTCTTGAATATACCAGTACTAGAAGAATAACGATTGAGTGAATTTTAGAATTGGATCATAGTCACAGGCTCACTGCTCTCACTGCAGCAGTGCAGCCTAGCCTATCCAACGAGTTTGTCTGGTCTAATACTAAATAATTACCAAGAGTAATGATAGGCGGATTGGAGTTTTGGACAGATAGCTTAAAGGGTTTTTCCATACGATTTCAAAGAACCGGGTAGAAGAATTCATAAAAAAGTTTATACGTGTATATTCTCCAACATGAATAAAAGAGCTCTATCTAAGAACCAGCCATATAACAAGGGAAAAACGCACTATGAAGGCAAAGATGTCAGCATGAACTATTTTCTTTGGCCCAAAGAGGAGCTTTGTGCACGCGTTTTCCTTATAAAAAGGGTCTTTTCTAGTTGAAAGAAAGAAGTGATCGAGAGCAACCAAGAGAAGATACAATGGCCTACGAAGCGTAAAAGCTTTCCAAGTAATATAAGCATGTATTAAGGCCTCTATAACAGCTCCTGGCTGAGGAAAGCCAATTGCAGTGGATAAACCGAATACGTGAGGACCAGGGACTCTATAAGCAGGATGAGAAGCTTCACGAATAAAAACGAGTCGCTCT